TCTGGGGGCTGGCCCTGGGAGCTCCTCTCGCCGCCCCCATCGCGCGCGCGGCGCTAGTGCTCTCGCTGGCGGGCTGGAAGGTGGAAGGGCCCCTGGAGCAGGTAGACCACAACGGTTGAAAGCCCCAGGTCGATCAGACCCCAGCGCTCTTGGCTGGCCCGCAAAAACTTGGAATACAGAGAGCGCGCGAAATTTCTCCAGCTGCAAAGTGGGATATCCACCTGGGCACTAGGCCACCTTGGGATCTCATTGGATCTAATTTGGGGCCATAAGCTTGAGGGCTGAGTGGGAACGCGAAGATGTTTTATTCGGAGCTGCGGGCGCAATTGAGCTCGGACCGAAGAGAGCGGCTGTTTGGCGAGGCATTCGACGGACGGGCGTTGCTTTCGTGGAAAGGTCGACACATTCCACCACGGGCTGAATACTTGCACGCGACAGGAGGTCCCAGCCGCCCGAGAAGAGGCCGAGGTACCTCCTGAATTCATGCGCGCGGCTCTTGAGGAGCCCGCGCTCGATATTTCAACCGGCGGTTTTTTGCCCACCCAGACTGCGAGCTGCCAAAACCGTCTATCCCGTCGGACGTTCAGGATTTTGATGTCTCGGGCAGCCCGCTGGATCTGGATGCTGAAAGACTGGCTGAACTCTCCGCGGAGGAGTTTTCAAGGATAGCGTCGGACGGATCTTGCACCGAGCCCCCCCCCCTCGCCCGCGCGCCACAGAGGGCTGCGCGGTCCGTCGGAGCGCTGCCCGCGAGCGGTTCTGCACCAGAGCCCGCTGCTGCGACGCGCGGGGCGGGCCGCGGACCTTGCCCCCAGGCGCCGGCGATGTCGGGGCACGACGGCGCAGCGTTTTGCGGCCAGGTGGCAAACAGACAGTCAGCGCTTGCAGCAAATGGTATGTCGCAATCATAGCAGCACATCAGAGTGTAGAGAAGCAGTTGGAAGCGATAAACTAGTTCTCTGGAATCCGTCTGTCTGAACAGTCTCTTGAGGGAACCGAGCTGATACAGCAGGCCCGCCGCATTAAGGTTCATCGGTCTCGCGAAGAGATGTAGGCTCTCGAGCAGACTGAGCGAGAGTTTGCACGTGCGAGTGCCGTCGTAGAATGCCATGCTAAGCAGGTGGTAGACAGACGCCCGCAGGCTGATCCCAGGTTTCTTCAGGAAGCAGGTCTCGCTGAGCAGAGAACCGGAAAATTATTTAAGTTAGCTGCCAAGTTCCCATCCCTGCTCGACGCGTCCCCCAAGTGGCTCAGGAATGACGTTCGCCGCTGGGCCAACAGATTTAGCCAGAGTTGGCATGTGGGAACGGGTCCCATATGTTGGATTACGCTGCAGCCAGTGCCTCGCGCTCGGGCAGGATGATCCGTCCGCGCGCAGCTTAAACTGCTGCCTACGAGTCCCCACCAGCGTTGAGAGAGATCTCACGGACCGTATGGGGCACCCTGTCGTCACGGCTGGGACTCAGCTCGAGGGCTCTAGTTTCGCGCTGGCGCTGCGTGGTAGGGCTCGCGAGAAGCGGCGCTAGATTTGTTTGGAATGCGGGGGGCGGCCCCAGGGCCGAGCAGTTAAGTTGTCACGCCCGTGTTTTCAGGCCTCGTGAACGCCCCACTGAATGGTCAGGAAGTTGCGAACCAACGCTTCCAGGGCAAGCCGCCAAACCGCAAAGTTCGAGCGCTCCTGAGCCGTAGCGCGGTGCTTCCTCGGGATCCCACCATCGATTGAGCAGGCCCCCTCGGGGTCGACCCCTGATTTTACGCCGGCCCAATGTTGGGGCAGCGCATAACTACACTTAGACAGAGAATAAATGATATGGAAGCCAGGTCGCACGGCTAGTAGCATCGGTTATGCTGTGATTTTAGTGTTGCGCGCTTCCCCCATTGGGCATTATGTTTTGTCTGTCATTCATATTCATCTTCAGCCGCTGTCCTCCCTTGCTCATCGCAGACCCCTCCTCTATCATGCTCGCCCCCCCCCGCTTCCTCGTCGCCGAGCCCTTCCCCATCCTCCGCGCCATCATCGCCACTGTTCATCCCCCATCCTTCGCATCCTCATCTTCCTACGCATCTTCCTGCCCCATCATCATCCCCCTCGCATTCGCCCTCCTCGCCCTTTTCCCACTAGTCCCCCATCGTCGCCCTCGTCGCCCTCAGGCCAGCGCATGGTATGTTCGAAAGTGTTTTGGATTAGATGCGGGACCTCCCGGCGCCTCGCGATGGCCAGTCTTTTGGGGGGCGGGCCAAGTGTTTTGATTAAGTGGATCTCTGTGACCGTGCTCTCCGAGTGACAATTCGCTCTCGCCGCGAGGCCAGCGACAACGACGACGACGAGGAGTAGGGGGAGAAGGAGGAGTAGGGTCCGTAGCCATTTTGGTTCAAGGCTAAACCTAGCGAAGGTTCGAGGAACCGAGAATCTGGGATTAGCTTTGGCCCCGCCCGTCGCTGCATCTCGAGCAGGGCGGGCGCCGCCCAGGCCGCCTCTGCATTCAGCTCGGCGATGCCCCTCCAACTGTCCAGTCCCTTTTCTCTGTGGGTGCCAACCCCTCTGTTGGCGAGAGATGGCAAGCAATGGGCAGCAGGCGGTGGCGACCCTCGCACGTGCTGGACTTCCTCTCAGCACTCAAGAACGCGCAAGAGAATGCGCCGACCTTACCGAACAGCGAGTTCCACTCACCGCCGAACACCCCCAGGGCCAAGATCCTCAAGGGCGAGACGGAGTCCCTCAAGCGTAACACGGATAATCTTCGCTCTGATCTGGATCAGCTCAAGGCCGAAATCTCTCAGAACATGGCGTCCGTCCCCCGAGTGTGTCACCGCCGTCTCTCACGGCGTCAGCGAAGCCGCGGCGGTCTCAAGAGGTCCGCCGCCTGTGGAGAAGCGGATGTCGGTAGTTGAGCTCCAACAACGCGCGCAAGATGATAGGGCAACCAGTCTCGAGCGCGCCGCCCGCGATCTACATCGCGAGCTTCGAGTTGTCAAGGAGGAGCCCCCGCCCGCCAAGACGCGCGCGCCAGGTGGTTCGTTCGACCGCGAGATCGACCAGGGGATCATCCACGTCGTTCGTTCTTTTCATATCGTCACTGCCGTCGCGGCTGCAGATAGCGCTCGCTCGTGGTTGGAGGAGGAGGAGGACCAGGAGGACGAGGAGGAGGAAGAGGAGGAGGAGGAGGACGAGGAGGAGGAGGAAGAGGAGGAGGAGGAGGAGGACGAGGAGGAGGCGGAGGACGTGGAGGAGGAGGAGGACGAGGAGGAGGAGGAGGACGAGTGCCGCAGCCAGGTTCGAATCCCACAGAGGAAGATTGGGCTGTGGAGGGCGGGCCGACGAGCGAGAAGCACACCGTCCGAGTCACCGGCGGCGCGGGCCTGGCCGCGCGCGGAGCGTCGCGCGTGCTCGGGAACCTGCGCGCGAGACGCGATGACGGAGACGCCGCAGCCACGTGGAGACGCATCGCGGCCAAGTCGACCACGGGTTAGCCGAGTGAGGTTTTTTTGTTGGGCCAGACAAAAATGCTCGCACACTTACGAGGGAGACATCCTGCAAGGTGATTCGGGAATCCTTTGAAGAGACGTTCCCCACGCGTCGCTCTTCCATGGACAATGTCAAGGAAGAGGCGTCGACCAACTGGCGGCCGCTGGTCAAGATCGCGCCTTTCGAGGGAGCTGAGCAGCCGCAGCTCGAATATGCCGCCGCGAAAATCGTGCTCGAAGGGGTCGACCAGGCAGAGTTAGCCCCCGTCCTCGAGCGCGCCCTTCAGGGGCCTGCGCCGACCGCGTGGGGTTCCTAACCCTTTCAGTGCCCTGTGGCATGGCGTCTCCTCCTTTCCGCCCCCCCCCCCCCTGGCCTCGCTCCGAGTTGTCGCTTGGAACGCCCGCGCTCTCTTCCACCGCAATCCCGCTGTCATGGCTCGGAAGGTTCGGTTTTTGAGACGTCTCCTCGTGCGCGGCGGCATCGTCGCGATCCAAGAGACTCAAGGCTCCGAAACTGCGCTACATGATCTCCTTCACCACCTCCACCTCCCGTTTCAGGCTTCTTTCTTCTGTCACCTTCACTCGATGGTTGGCGGCGGCGTCACCCTCTGCCCACGCATTCTGGCGCCCGCGGAGCGGAGGCGCAGGTTTGGGCGCGAGCTGCCGGCCATCGCCCCCGCTCCCTTCCTAGAAGGGCGAGCGCTTTTCACGACGTTCGGCAGCTTGAATGGTCAGTGCTGGGTCAAACGCTAAAACGTTCACAAGTTTTGACTGACCCGTGATGGTAGACGCACGCTACTCAATCAGATTCGGAACGATTCAAAGGCCGCTCAGAGTGACCCGATGTCTTTCCTGGTCTTCGTCTCAGGGATTTCAACCTTCCTGCCTTCGCCCCAATCCCGCTCAACCCGGCCGTCCGTTGAATTCGAACATCGTCTTCTCCCTCATGAGTGGCGAGATGCATTCGAGCACGCCGTGGAGTTCGAACTATCTACGCCCGCCCACTTCAATGCCGAAACTAGTAGCCTGTCGCTTATTGGCAGGACTTTTTCCCCGCTGCCTGGCTGGATTCTCTCGCAATACTCGATTGTGGGAGAGGTCATGGACCGGCCCGAACACTTAGCGGCCGAGCAGATATCAGATCACGCCGCAGTTGCAATTGCTCTCCGCCCCCGAGGAGAGCCGCCAGTCGGCGGGAGGCCGATGCCCAAGGAGATCTTCAGCGCGCCAGAGTTTGCGAAGTACTCACCTTCTCCGACTCCGACTCCGATTCCTCCTCCTCATCATCGTCATCATCATCAGCAGCATCATCAGCAGCATCATCAGCATCATCATCATCAGCATCAGCATCATCATCATCGTCGTCGTCGTCATCATCATCATCATCATCATCATCATCATCATCATCATCATCATCATCATCCACCTCCTTCTCCTCCTCCTCCTCCTCCTCCTCCTCCTCCTCCTCCCTCCTCCTCCTCCTCCCTCCTCCTCCTCCTCCTCCTCTTCCCCCCCGTCGACGCCGTCATGCTCAGGTGCTGTCGGCCGTCCCGGACGAGCCCGAGCTGGCCCACCGCTTCGTGGCGGGGCACGTACAGATGTCCAACCCCGCGGGCCCGTAGGGCGCCGCCGAGGCGCGCGGCGCCCCTCGACCTGACGCCGCAGCCGCCGCCAATGCCGCCGCCGCCGCCGACGCCGACGCCGACGCCGACGCCGACGCCGACGGCGACGGCGACGGCGACGCCAAAGGCGCCGCCGCCGACAACGACAGCAGCAACGACAACGACGACATAGACGACGACGAAGACGCCGACGACGACTACTACGACGACGACGACGACGACAACGACGTGGACGACGACGACGACGACGACGACAGCGACGGCAACAACGACAAAAATGCCAACGCCGCCGACGACGACGACGACGACGACGACGACGACGACGACAACACAAACGACATAGACGACATAAACGAAATAGACGAAGACGACATAGACGACGTAGACGACGACGACGACGAAGAAGACGCCGACGCCGACGAAGAAGCCGACGCCGACGCCGACACCGACGCCGACAACGACGCCGACGCCGACGCCAACGTCGCCGCCGCCGCCGACGACCACGACGACGACGCCGATGACGACACCAACGACGAAGACAACGACCACGACGACGACGACGCCGACGACGAAGACAACGACCACGACGACGATGACAACGATGACATAGACATAGACATGGGCATAGACATAGATATGGACATAGACATAAACATAGACATACACGACGACGGAGACGACGACGACTACTACGACGACGACGACGACGGCGATGACGACGATGACGAAGACGCCGACGCCGACGACGACGCCGAAGGCGCCGCCGCCGACAACGACAGCAAAAACGACGACGACATAGACGACGATGAAGACGCCGACGACGACTACGACGAGGACGACGACGACGACGACGACGACGACGACGACGACGACGAGGACGACGACGACGACGACGACGACGACGACGACGACGACGACGACGACGACGACGACGACGACGACTACGACGGCGACAACGACGAAGATGCCGACGACGACGACGACAACGATGACGACGACGACGACGACATAGACGACATCGACGACATAGACGAAGACGACGACCTAGACGACATAGACGACGACGAAGAAGACGCCGACGCCGACGAAGAAGCCGACGCCGACACCGACGCCGACAACGACGCCGACGCCGACGCCGACGACGCCGCCGCCGACGACCACGACGACGACGCCGACGACGACGCCGACGACGAAGACAACGACCACGACGACGCCGACGACGAAGTCGACGAAGACAACGACCACGACGACGACGATGACAACGACAACGACGACATAGACATAGATATGGACATAGACATAGACATAAACGTAGACATACACGACGACGAAGACCACGACGACTACTACGACGACGACGGCGACGATGACGACGACGGCGACGACGAAGACAACGACCACGACGAAGAGGACGACCACGACGACGACGACGACGACGACGACAACAACGACCACGGCGAGGGAGGAGGGAGCATGGAAGACGGAGGGAGGGATCAGGGAGGCGAGAGGAAGGAGGGAGACGACGACGGCGACAGTGTCGACGACGAAGACCAGCAGCAGGAGCAGCAGCAGGAGGAGGCTCGTCGGGAAAACTGTACGGGTCAACAGCGTCCAGATGCTTCATGGAAGGGAGGAGCCCTCCGAGCAAGACGAGACCGTTCGAAGAAGAGGCGTCTTTGTCAGCGCCACCGACGGCGCCGTCGTCGGCGCCGTCGTCGTCGTCGGCGGCGGCGGCGCCGCCGGCATCGGCGAGGAGCCTCCCCAGCGCCGCGCGCTCCGCAGCCACCCTCGGGCGCAGAGGCGGCCCGAGCCGGCAGCCCCGAGGCCCCACGCCGCGGGGGGCGCCCAGCGCGCCGCCATGGCACCCGCCGCCCAGCGCGCGGGCAGGCGGCGGCGGCGGCGGCCGACGCCGACGCCGACGACGACAAAGACGACGACGATGACGCCGACGCCGACGACGATGACGACGACGACGACGACGACGACGACGACGACGACGACGCCGACGCCGACGACGACGACGACGACGATGACGACGACGACAAGGACGACGACGACGACGACGACGACGACGACGACGATGACGACGCCGACGCCGACGCCGACGCCGACGCGGCGGCGGCGATGGTGGGGTGACCGCGCAGAGTGGTGAGCCCGTGGGAGTTGTCAAGCGTTTTCGTCGGTTCCAAGGGGGCTTCCTGCCTCGGGATGCGTTCCAGCAGCTGCGCCTCGCGAGGGTGCCGCGATCGTCCCGAACGGCCGCCAGAGACCCGAGTTATGGCCCGGAATCCTAGCTTTCGGAGGAGGGTTGATGTGGTCAGTCAGTGGGGATTCGGGGTCACCGCACGGTTCTGGGACTAGGGTCGTTCTCCGAGGACGTCTCGGGCGACCAAGAATCCCAAAACCATGTGGTGACAGACCGCGCGGTGAGGTCTTCTGGGACTTCGAGGTCACCACCCGGTGTGTCACCACGCCGTTTTGGGACCCCCAAGCTTCGGCAGCGGCGGCGGAAGCGGCGGCGGCGGCGGCGATGGTGGTTTTGACGACGGCGGCGACTGCGAGAACGACGACGACAGCGACGACGGGGATGAGGATGAAGGGGAGGGGGAGCAGCAGCAGCAGCAGCAGCAGCAGCAGCAGCAGCTTCAGCCCGAGGAGGAGGAGCAAGGAGCAGGAGCAGCAGCATGCCGCCCAGAGTCTGGCCAACCTCGAGCAGCAGCATCTCCAAAAGGAGAAGGCCTCGTTGCATCCTCATGCTTGTCGTTGCGACGACGACGACGACGACGACGAAGACGACGACGGCGACGGCGACGGCGACGGCGACGGCGACGGCGACGGCGACGGCGACGGCGGCGGCGGCGGCGACGGCGACGACGACGGCGACGGCGATAGCTCGGCTCCGGCGACGCCGACGCCGATGGCGACGTCGATGCCGACGCCGATGCTGGCGGCAGCGGCGGGGACGACGACGACGACGAAGCCGACGAAGCCGACGACGCCAACGGCGACGACGACGCCGACGACGATGACGATGATGAGATGATGATGATGATGATGATGATGATGATGATGATGATGATGATGATGATGATGATGATGATGATGATGATGATGATGATGATGATGATGATGATGATGATGATGATGATGATGATGATGATGATGATGATGATGATGATGATGATGATGATGATGATGATGATGATGATGGCGGCAGGGCCGTTGTGGCGGCGGCGAGAGCGGCGGCGACGCGGGCCCGCCGCGCGCGCCGCGAGGCGGCGGTGGCGCGCCGCGGCCGCGCTCGCGCTGGCGCTCGCCCTCGGCGCCGCGGCTGGCGCCTGCGGGCCCGCCTGGCGCCCCGGGCTCCACGCGCGGCCCTGGGCGCCCGCGACGGGCGGCGCGCGGGGGCGTACGACGACGACGACGAGCACGACGACGACGACAACGACGACGACGAGCGACGAAGACGACATCGAGCTCCCAAGTTTTTTCTGATCCTGGTTCCTGTGCTGCCTGGAGCTGCGGCAGCAGCGGTCGCGGTGGCAGCGGTGGCGGCGGCGGCGACGGCGGCGGCGGCGACGGAGCTGATCGGCGACGCCTCAGGGCGGTCCCTTGCCGGAGTGATTTTTGTGGCGCGGGGCCACAGTCCCGTGGGGTCCCCCTTGCACTACCCTTCGCGCTTGGATTTGGCCCCCTCACGGCTCCTGAACCGCGCACCAAGAGTCACACTCGCCAAGGATCACTCCTTCGCGCGGCCGAGCTGACGGCGACGGTCCCAGATCTCCAGCGTCTCGACAACCGTAAAACCTCTCTGGCTTCTTGGGCTTCTGCGTTTTCTGCGTTTGTGTTTGCCTTTCGTCGGTCGCCGGCGGCATTCTCCAGCTTCGGGATGCTCTCCAGCAGCTGTGCCTCGCCGGGCGGCGTCCTGGGCCAGTGCCTGGATCGCCCCGAGCGGCCGCCAGAGAGCCGAGTTATGTTTCGAAAACGAAGGGGCAACGTCAGGGGGGGATAGGCTCAGGGAGCACGGGGAGTCCCGGCCTCTATCTAGCGTCTCGAGGGACTCAGCGCGGAGGTTTGTCGCAGTTTTCGGCCACTGGGGGCCCTCGCAGGGCCCTGGGAGCGTCAAGAAACAGCTCAGGATGAAGAGCCGGCCCTGGGGAAAAGCTCCAGACCTCCGGGGATCCAGCCTTGAGGAACTCAAAGCAGTGAAGGGCTGGGGTGGCAGTGGCGGCGGCGACGATGACGGTGGCAGCGACGGCGACGGTGGCGGCGGCGGCAGCGGCGACCGCTGCGATGACGACAATGTTGTCGGCGGTGGCAGCGGCGACGTTGGCGGCGACAACGGCGACCGCGTCGGCGGCGGCGGAGGAGGAGGAGGAGGAGGATCGGGAGGTGCAAGCAGGAGTGGGAAGGAGGGGGAGGAGGAGGGGAAGGAGGAGGGGGGCGAGAGACGCGAAACAGTGGAGGGATGGGAGGAGGGGGAGGAGGGGGACGAAAGGAGGAGGGAAGAGGATAAAGAGGAGTAACAATGGAAGGGAGGGAGGGACGAGGAGGCGGACGGGAGGAGGAGAAGGAGGTGGAAAAAGTTAAATAGGATGGAGGACCAGGAAAAGGGAGGAGGAATGGAGTGGAAGATAAGGAGGGGGAGGATGGTGACGAACATGATCAGGCATGGAGAAGAGAGGGGACTCGGGGAGGCGAGAGGAAACTGAGGCGCACAAGGGGGAAGGGGCAGAATGGGAGGGGAACCGAGGCATGGGATGGGAGGTGGAGAAGGGATGCCGAGCATGTTCTTTGGGTGGAGGGCAAAGGGTAACATCTGAAATGCCGTTTCGATTGGTTTTCGAGGCTTGAATCTGCAAAAGGTGAATCACAAGACGGATTGATTGTCATAGGTTTCACCCTGAGCCCTCCACACTAAGAAAATGATCAGGGATAAGAGGAGAGGAGGAGGAAAAGGGGGTCCAGGACGTCCACGGAACCCAGCAATGGGCGCGTAGCGGTTGTTCTTCGCGTTTAGCGCGTGCCCGGCCACGGCGCCCAGTCGTCCATCTGCTTGGAGTGATATGGTCGCCCTGCTCGAGCACTTCTCCGCCGCGCCGTTCGCGAAACCGAAGTCCGGCCGATCTTGCACATCGACCGTCACGCTGCTGGTATCCACGCCTGCAGCCCTCTGCTTCTCGACGAACTTCTCCAAAGCCTTGATGGAGCCGAAGGTCTTCGTCGCGCCACCGTTCAGCACCATGCATCCATCCGTCTCGTCCTCGAGTCTGGCCAATGCATGCTCGATGTAGTCGGCCATCGCCTCGTGTTTATCCACCGTGAAGGACGTGAAGGCCCGCTCCTCTCTCTTGTGGTCCGCCGTCTCGTCCTCCTCGGCCAGCTCGATCTCAGTGTCGGGGATGTCGTCCCACATGCCGTGGTTGAATGCCATGACGCCGACCTGCTGGATCTTGCCCTACTGCGTTCCGCCTTGGTTCTTCTCTTTGGCATTGCGCCTGCCTGCGGGGGCCACCGCAGATGAAGCACGGCCACGCATTGGTATCTCTTGCAAGTCTGCCTTTGCCCTTGCCACGGGCCTCTCCTTCCTGGTAGAGTCCACGACGTTGCTTGATATCCTTGACGACTGCCCGTGCCTGCGCCAGCGTGGGTCCGAGCGTCTTTGCTCGCGTCGGCGATGGCTGCCAGAGCCTCCTCAGCCTCGGTGCGCTCGTCGTCCTCCAGGCCCTCGAGGTCGATCTCGTCGTCGTCCTCGTCCGCCTCGTCACCCAGGTAGGCCTCGTTGTAGTCGTCCTCGGCGCGATCGTCGTCCTACTCCTGCTCCTCCTCGTCGCCCCCGTCGAAGATGCCGAGAGCACGTCCAGCGCTTCTTGTGGTTGGCGTCGTGCTCCTTCAGGTCTACGTAGGCCCATTGGTCGCATGATGCTCCCTCGCTTGTTTTGTTAATGTTCAGCGAGTTCTTGGCAGACGACAGGACGCCAGCACGCTGTTGAGCATTCAATCATGCCCGCTGCAGTAGCAACCATCCTGCCATGACCGACGGGATGAGGGTCTATTTCGCTTCGGTCGCGACCTCCTTCAACGCCTTGATATCGACGTCGTCCTCGTCGAGCCCGTATCTCGCCATGAGCGAGCACAGCGCCTTCGTAGCCTTCTCCTTCAGCGCGATCTTCTAGTGAGCCTACAGGGAGACTGATGGCTTTGGCCAGTCCAAGTTGCCTTGCGAGTGTCCGTCTGGCGAGCTGCTCCACCAACTGCCGTACAACCAGCTCCCAGTCCGTCTGCCGCTGCTCGATCCTTCTCTTCAGCTGCCTGCATCATCTTCCACTTCAGCTTCCTCACCTCCGCCTTCTGGAAGGATCGAGCCTTCCCTGACCGACTCTGCCTTCTCAACAGGCCTGGCCTTCTTCTCGAGCTTGATCGTCGCCGCTGGGTCCTTCTCTTCGATATGACGAGGAGGAGAAGGAGGAGGAGGAGGAGGAGCAGGAGGAGGAGGAGGAGGAGGAGGCAGGAGGAGGGAGCAGGAGGAGGAGGAGGAGGAGGAGAAGGAGGAACGCTGGTGCAGCCTGTCGGCCACGATCCTACCCCTCTGGGCATAGGCCTTCACTCCTTTGTTGTTCTTCCGCCGCAGCGTGAAGAGGTATTCCGTCTGATACTTCGCTGCCTCGGGGATGAGCTCGTCCATCATAATCATACGACTAATAATAACAACGGTCATACTGATACTAGTAGTTTCAGCGTCTCGTCGAGGAACTCCAGTTGGATCTGGTGACCACCAACCTGCTCCAGGAGTTCTCGACCTTCCTCTGATGCTTCCTCCAGCGCCTTCCATGCTTCACATGTGAGCGTCGCCGCCAGTCTCGCCCCGGACACTGCCTTGTCACGATGGTTGAGACCAGCCACGTACCATTTGACTCTCTCTCTCTCTCTCGATACTCCTGGAAGCGAGCTCCGTCCCCATCCCACGTAGGAGCTTTGTTCTTCTCATTCTCGCTTGAGCCCGTCATGGTGCCAGCTGTACTACTTGGAGCCAGCTGTGCTCCGATACCAATGCGGGTTCACCGATAGTGATGTCAATCTCAGTGTCGGCGTCAGCTGCGTAGTGAATAGGTCCGTCGATCTAGCTCCTTTTATGTCAGTACGCGTGCCGGGTCGCTCTCAGCTCCCGACCAGCCTGAATATGCATTGTATCTGGTTCCAGAGAAATTCTTGCACTCCAGCACAATAAGAAATAATGTAACAATATGTGTTACTCTGATATCTGCGTACCGGTACGAGCTCTCTAGAGCCCGCAAAGTGTTGAAACGACCGCCAAACGACGGCTCAAGGGGCACCTCGTGAGCACAAACAGCAGCGGAGCAGTAGGCAATGCAACATGTGCACTGGTGGGTTTACAGTGAAGGGGGAGGAGTAGTCTAGAGGCCCCAGCCAGCAGACCCCTCCCCACTGGGAGCGGCAGCTGTCTCAAACAGCCAGCAATCCCTGGAGGGGGCGCCCTGTTTGAGGGGCGGCGGAGGAACCTGCTGGCTCCCGATCATTGTGCCCGTTCGGCGGAAGAGACCCGCGAACGCTGAGAGGAGGAGGAGGAGGAGCAGCAGCAGCAGCAACAGGAGGAGGAGCAGGAGGAGGAGGAGGAGGACCACGAAAAAGGACGAGGACGAAACGCCCGAAAGAGGAGGAAGACGAGGACGAGAAGGAGGACGAGGACGAGGAGGAGGAGGAACCCGAAGGAGGAGGGGAAAGGGGGATGGGGGAGGGTGGAGCCCGAAGGAGGCTGAGGACGAAGAGGAGCCAATGGCAGAGGGGGGAGCCCGGGAGGTGGCCCGCAGACGGTGCGCGCCGGCAGAGCCGGCAGACGGGCGGTGGCGACGGAGAACACGGCCTCGCAGCAGGTGCTCGACGCCTTGGAG